GTGGGTAAGCAAAGCCTACAGTTCTTAATGTTTGGTATCATTACACTTGTACAGAGCAGCTCCAATATTGATGTGTTAATCAAATTAGGAACCTCTATAAATAGTCTAAAAGTTAAAAATTGGATTCTCTTCTTTCCTCCCTCTCTGGAAGCTCCATCATAAGACCACTACTAAGAAGACAGAATACATTTGGTTTCAGAATTATGGTAAGATGTGGAACATATTAGTATTTCACCTTTTTAGTATGCATGGTTGAAAACAGGCAAGATTAAACTAGTTTGAAGGCTTAACACTAAATCTTCACTCTTTGATCAATGAACGAAAATGAGAAATGTCAGAAAGTTCGTTGCAGTTATTTTAATTATTTCTCCCTTTCCAGTTAAATTGTCAGCTGTAGTTTTGAAGGAGCTGAGGAAGATAACAATTTGCACCAGCTATGTAATGCTCTGAAAGCATCGGTAGAATTAATCCCACATCCTCATTTGCTACTCATGTGAAAAATTGCCTAACTCTGATGTTCTGCTATTAAGAGATAAAATTAGCAGAGGGCATTTGAGTATGATATGCCTGTACATAAAGCATCTATCAAACATTTAGCATGGAATATATAATTAATGTGCATAAGAATAGGAAGAAAAACTTCTGGAGAAAAGAGTAAGTAAGCTGCAAGTACTACTGATAAGACATCCCACTGACGAAATCCCAGAATTATCTTCTTAACGTGAATACTGAATACTTTTTCTGGAACATGAATTTTTAGACTGCTTTCTACCCTTGGGGTGCTAAAACCAATCATAATTGCAAAATGTGAGCTATTTCTAAAACAACTCATCTGTTGTTTTCAGTTTTAAAAGGGGTATTGTGTTTTCTTTCCATATGTTAATTTCCTTTATAATGCTTTTGCAGAAAAATGCATTTAATATTGAGAACCAATTTATATCTCTGTCAAGAAGCTCGATTGGATGTATTTTGTACCATGACATTTCACTCAAAAGAAAACTGCTGCCTTGAGGCTTTGGTCTAAACCTAAAAGACATCTTATGATGCCCCAGTTTATCATTCACTAAACTGCTGTGATACCAAAAATCTTTGTATGCTTGAAGGTCATAAATGAAGAGGGATGGTGTGTGTGTATGTTCTCACAATACCTACCAGCCAATAACCCTCCTCCCCACAACATGGAAAGTCCTATTAAGCATCATATCTATTAAGCTACAGGACTATATGAACCGGTACATGAGCAATCTCAGAAGAGCATTGGGAACAACACTGGAGACAACATCAGTTGCTCATAGATAGAGCAGCCACCCAAGATTAAATATCAAGACAGACCAATCTGAGCACATCCTGGACTGACAACAGGAAAGCCAACAACTCAATGCCACACATATGGATCTGTGAATGCCTGGTGCTATATAAAGTCAACAGGACACTAAGGGCTTTCCTCAAGTACTCATCAGGACTGTGGAAGACAACACTGGATAGCTCAACTCAAGACACCACACATAACTGGCTATCAGATGCAGCAAATACCAAGATGATCCACTGTCCTGCTGCTGTTCCGCATAGGCTTGAACCCCATCAATAATCACAAAGACTAGATATGGATACACGTTCAAGAATGGAACTATCATCTGCCATCTTCTCTACATGGATGACATCAAGATGTATGCTAAGAATGAATGAGACATTGACTCACTGATCTACCTAACATGGATCTACATTGAGAACATTGAGATGTCATTTGGACTAGAGAAGTATGATCAGATGGTAATCAAGAGAAGGAAGGCAGTTAAGACTGATGGGGTGGAACTACCAGTGAGCCACATAGCAAATATATAGACCAGCTACAAGTACTTTGATAACCCACAGTAACATGAGAACCATGAGGAGGAGGCAAGGAAGACAGCAACATCCAAGTACCAACAAATGATAAAACAGATCTTAAAGAGCCAACTCAATGGGAAGAACAAAATCCACACTTACACTTCGCCAATCATCAGATAACCTGCTGCTATATAGTGAGCTGGCCAAAGAAGGACCTGGAAGGTGCCAATGTGAAGACCAAGAAGCTCCTCACAATGTATAGAGATTTCCATCCAAAGTCCAGCACCCAGAGATTGTACACTAGTTGGAAAGAGGGTGGGAGAGGCTTGTTGAGTGTCAAAGTCACTGTCCTGAATGAAATCCACAACATCCAGGAATACATCAGTATGATAACACCCAAAGATGAGCCGCTAAGAGAATCCCCAAGGCAGCAACAGACATGGGAGATATGGGAGGAAGATCAGGCAGAGGAAGTGCTATAGTGAGAGAAAACCCTGCATGGAATGTACCATCAAGAGATAGCTGAGGTGGCAGACATCAGGAAATTTTACCAGTGGCTGAAAGGGCTGGACTAAAAGACTAAAGACAGAACTGAGGCACTGGTCCTATGAGGCACAAGAATAGGTTCTACGCATCAGATCTATAGAAGCTTGGGTCTACCACACTAGATAGGACCTGAAGTGCAGACTATGCAGAGAAACCTCAGAGCCTGTCCAATTCATAGGGACAGGGTGTAAGATGCTGGCAGGAATAGCATACATTGAAGAGCACAAGCAAGTAGCTGGTATTGTGTGCATGAACATTTGCATAATATATGAGCTAGACCCTCCCAAGTCCAGAAAGTCATGGAGAATAACAGGCTAAGATTCTGTGGGACTCCCAGATTCAGATGGCCAGGCAAGTACTGGCCAATCAACCAGACATTGTGGTTGTAGATAAGGACCAGACGACCACAATGGTGACAGATGTAGCAATGCCAAGTGAGCAACATCCGAAAGAAGGAGTATGAAAAGCTGGAGAAGTACCAGGGCCTGAAGAAGAAATGAGAGAATATATGGAAAGTAAAGGCCAAAATGGTCCCAGATGTGGTAGGAGCACTCAGGGCTGTGACTCTTAAGCTGGACACTGTCTCCAACAAATCCCAGGAATGACATCAGAGCTCTCTAGCCAGAAGATGCAGTGCTAGGAACAGCTAAGATACTGCAAGAACCCTCAAACTCCCACTGTGCTAACATATAACCGGCCTGCATTTGGCTATTGCAGGAGGTGCATTGTATTTCAGCATGAACTGACTGAGATTCTGTCAGGATATTTCTTTGTTAATAGTGAGATGTATCTAGTTTTTCTAATGAACCTGCTTTATGTCTAAGTTTAGATTTAGTACTGATATGCTATCTCTGAAGGAGCCATTTGCAATTTGCATCCTCCATTAATTTGCAATTTGGACTCCATTAATGAGTATTTATTCAGTATGGTAACTCAACCAGCTCTGGGTCTATTTTAGAACTCCCTGGCTTACATTGTACTATCTTGTCAGCAAGAAAATCATAGATCATAGACAATCATAGACAAATGTTGCCCAAGCATCTCCATGAACTATCTGTCATCTCTGTTTTTTAAAAAACAAACAGTCAAAATGAACTGATATGGGTTATTCTTGCTTGACCCACAAGACTCTTTTTAGGCCTCCAACAAGAAATAGGAAAGGATATGTACAGATCACAAATCATACAGGGTTTCTTTATTTCCCCAATCCATTTTTCCTGAATCTCCTAGTTTTCTCACCACTGCTTGCTGCTCTCCAATTTTTTTGTACTTTCTGATGATCCCCATTCCAATTTTTCTTTCTTTTTTTGTAAATAGTTTCAGCTTTATACTTGATTTCTGCCAGTTTGCCATGAATTTTATCTTATAGGAATCCTTCTACTGTGTATTATATATATATAATACATCTTACATCTATACAGCAGATAAAAACAGAAGACAATTCCTTATGATTCTATTGGTAATGGAATCATATAAATTAGCAGAAAGAATAAATCTCAGATGTGGTTATGTTCTAGAAGGTCAAGAATAACTTTGTATAAGGGGCCAGTTAGTGGCCAGTTGCTAAATTATGTTTAGGATGTCGATGTTAGGCATTTAATGTATTTAACACCTCGTCCTGAGGTCGTAAGTCAGGTTAGACAGCCATTATTAGGCTTCCTGCTTTGAATAGGAGGTTGGATCAAAAGAGCTGTAAGATGCCTTCCATGGATCCCTCTTTCCGATTCTATTCCCCCCCCCCCCCATCAAACAACCAACAATGAGGAATAGGTCAAACCCTGGAATACCTGGTTCATGTGTCAGGATAGGACAGAAAAGTCTCTAGGGTTACTGGGACTCCTGTTACCCTGATAGACTTTTGTGACTACCTGGTTCCAGAGAAGATTGATCTCTTTCTGTGCCAGTCCTAAGCGTATCACTGGCTTATCACTTATCGGGAAGGAAGAACTTGTGTCACTCAAGAGATATGCAGAGGAAGCTAGAGAGGGCTTTTCCCAGGGAATGCCCTCAGGCAGAGATCTTGGTTTCCCTCCCGTCTTCCTGACTGGGCGCCGGGAATGCCGAGGGACAAAAATAGAGAGAAACCCGAAGTGGGCAGCCAACTAGTTCCACTGCAGAGTTGGGGGCTGCGGAGGATTCCTGGCCAGAGAGCGCGGGCGGGGGAGACAGGCGGCACCGTGCCCAGCAAGAGGGACCTTGAGTTGGCTCGGCCGCCTCTCCAGCGTCTCCCAGAGGCGTCTCCAGCGTCTCTCCTTCCAAAGTTGAAGAGCAGCCGCAGTCTATCCCGACTTGAAAGGCAGGCGGGGAACGCGGCAGCCGGAGCAGCCCCTTAGCCCTAAGGACGCACCTGATTCGGGCGCCGGGCGGACGGGAGTGCTGGCAAGCGAAGGCGCCCCGCTCGAAAACCTGGAGCGGATCTCCCGTTTGGTCTGCGCAGGGAAAGCGGGACCAATTGGAGGGGAAGCTGCAGCCGGAGGCAGAGTCCGGCGGATTCCCTCCGCTCTCTCCTCACCAGCCCCCCCCCACAAGCCTTAGAGGGCCCGGGTCGGCCGCTCTGGAGCGGAACGGAGGAACTTTCCCTTCCGTTGGACACGGGAGTTGGGCTGAGAGATCTGTAATGGCCAAGGATGTCTTCGGAGGGGGAGCCGGAGCCTTCCGCTGGAAATAGTCCAGAAGCAGCAGTGGCGGCGGCGGCGGCTGCAACTACAGATGCTAGAGAGGAGGTGAGAAGCGAAGGGCGTCTGGGGGTCTAAGGCGTTGTGTGTAGGCAACGCCAGGCGGACGGGGAAACCCAGCTGTCTGTACCTGAGGATGCGTGTCCAGCTGCACCCATCCTCCAAAGAGCGAGCATGAAGAATATATCCGCACCCAGGATAAAGGGACTTTGTGTACCCATGCAACTTGCATGTGGCACTAGGAAAAATTGACTCAGGAGGGGAAGGGGGAACCAAATCCACAAACATCACTGGGATTCTTTTCAATTAGGCCTTCATTAAACTCATACGAAAGTGTTGTTAAAAATACGCAGGTCAAGGAAAACAGTAATAAGGCATGATGGAGTCATTTTCATGTTCTTTTGGTCGAAAACATAGATTTGGAGATCTGTAGTAGCAATCTCTAATGTATGTGTGTGTGCGTGCATGCGTGTGCATTGGTGTGTGTACACTCATCTTTTTCTTATGATAAGATGGGTGTGCAAGAGAAGTTTTATGTTGTGTTGTGTTGTGTAGACTTCCTTCCAGCAGTACCTTGGGCCTACCTGGGGCAGTAACCAGCCAACCAAAATGTATTATTTTGCCAGTCAAAGGTTACCAAGTTTAAAGCCATTTCCAATAGCAGGGAAAGGAGATCTCCAATGTTCTGAAAACCTGTCTCTGGAGTAAGAATGAATATAGGATTCTCTTAGGTTCAAGGATCTATAAAAACTATAACTTGAGTTTCCCTGGGGGGTGGTGGTTCTGCTCCAGATTTCCTCCCGACTTTTTATGAATATATCCAGAGTGAGTTTTCTCTGATAAACAAGCGCTCTCTCGCTCACTGTTTTGCTGCTGTTTGAGTGACATTTTGTACCATTGGGCTTCCAAACTGAAATGTGCTGATCTGGTAGATGGAGCATAACCAATCTGTTTTCCACCTGGGTCCACAAAACATACTGCAGATGTATTTGCCTGTCATGGTGCAAACTGCTAACCATAACAACAAAATGCCAATAGAATCAACTTGTAAATGACTTTGTAATCATAAATTTGACGTTGTAAATTCAAAGGCCCGCATGGCATACAAGGCGAAGAATAAGATCTAAAAAAAGAATGCTGCTGAATCAAATCAAGGGGTTATCTAGCCTAACATAGGGATTCCTCAGTGGCCACCCAGAGAACCCTGCCAAATCCTTGTTGGATGTGAGCACAACACCATTATCTCACTACATTCATTTTTTATGTGTTAATGTATTCCATGCTTTTTTCTCCAGGAGCTTAAGCCAGCGTACTTAGTACTCCTGCCTCCAGTTTTATCCCCCGGAAACTCTGTAAAATACATTCAGCTGAGGCAGTGCCTGGCCAAGGTCATCCAGTGATTTCAGCCAATATGGACTTGAAGTGGGTCTTCCCAGTTCCAGTACAATTCTTTAAATACTGGCCCATACTACTTCCCTTATGCGCCCAATAATTAGTACTTAGAGACATATTTTTCTAATGCTATAGCAATAGCATTCGTAATAAATGCTATTCCTAAACGAAATCAACCCTGACTGGTTTTTGGGAGGACAGATGCCGAATCTGAAGCTCGAATACTTTGGCTATCTAATGAGAAGAGAGGAGTCACCGGAAAAGACCCTGATGCTGGGAACGATTGAAGGCAAAAGGACAAGGGGATGGCATAGGATGAGATGGTTACAGTGTCAATAATGCAGTGGACAAAAATTTGGGCAAATTCCAGGAGATAGTGGTGGGGAAGGGGGGGGCTGGCATGCTATGGTCAAATTGGGTTGCAAAAGTTAGACATAATTTAGCAACTGAACAACAATAAAAATAAACATTACTGTACTATAGTAGTATAGTAATAAACCATCATTTTAGTCTCTGTAGACAAATTAATCTAACTTTAAATTTAGTAGACACCAATCCTTTGTATTGGAATAGTGCAATGAGGTTTTCTTTCATTTGGTTTGAAATTCCCAACAGCAGCTTACTCGAAAAATCCTTCGTTCTAATATTGTGAGATCCCTATCACTCCTCCCATCCTTTTTAAAGGTTAAAAAGGCACTTTAAATTGTTATTTTGCCTTCCGTGAAAGTTGTTAAAGTGTTTAGATTGTTCTTATTGCTTTCTACACTTTTCCATCTCTACAGTAACTTTTTTAAGGTCTCGCGACCAGAATGTTAGACATTATCTCAACCGTAGTTGAACGCATTGTGGTTAAATTGCCATGATTTTGAAAATATTATTTTCCTAGTAATACTGTAATGATACCCAAGTAAAATCTGTCTTTTTCACAGTACCTTTAAAACAGGGCAGTGTTTGAATCAAGTTTTATACCATCACTCTGCTGGGTAATCACTTCCAATTCCAGAGAGGAGGGGAGACATAAATGGACTTCTCTCCTTTGATAATTGTTTATATTATTATATTTGCCATTTTAATCCTTATTCCCCTGATTTCTTGTAGTTCTTGAAAAAAAATCATTATTTTTGCTTTGATTGATTAATTGATTTGATTTGTGTGCCGCCCAGCTCATCTAGAGCGGGAGTGTCAAACTGCCGGCCTGCGGGCCGGATTCATCATACCAAAGTCACGCCCACCCCATTGCCAGCAATGCAAAAAGAGTCGCAATATGTCGCAACACGTCACATGACGTGACGAGTTTGACACCCGTGATCTAGAGGCTTTGGCCATTCTAAAAATGTAGTTGATCCCCTATCCTAATTATCCAGTTAATTTATAAACAAGTTTAAAAATATTGCTTTCAGTACCAATTCTTGTGGAATCTCTCTGTTGTTGTTGTGTGTGTGTGTATATGTGTGTCAACTCAAGGCAGCAAACATACCTAAGGTACTCTTTCACTGCACAAATATCTCTTTATTCCAATACTTTCTCTTCCTGCACTAGTTCCCAGTCCATAACTTGAGATTTCATCTAGTTCCCTCGTCTGCTAAGGGATAAATCTTTTAAAGTGCACATAAACACTTTCACTGGGTCATTGATGTCTGCCTGTCCAGTGGCAGTCTCACAGACCTCTAAAAGCAACATCTACCTTCACAAAAGTTGCCCTGTTTTCTCTTCAGCAAGGCTCTATCATTTTATAGAGAAGCTTCTGATTCTCTATTACCTCCTCTGATCTTTTTTTTAAAAAACAGTTTAAATTGATCATTTTTATATCCTTTGATAGAAAGTTAATGTTAGGACAATATTATATATTTTTCTCAAAAGGACAGCAATTCTCTACCTGACCTCTGTGGTAGAAATCTCACCTTAAGGAATTGAGTTAAAGGATTGGAGAGGTATAAACTGATTTTTGTTTTATTAGAAGACTGTGATCTCCACATTCCTAGGCAGCAAAGTGAAGTGCTCCAGCTTCTAGTCTTAGAAAGATTACAGAGTTAGTTTACTACTATAGATAAGAAATACAGATAGGACCAAAAGGAAGCTAGTCTCTTCTTCTTGTCTGCTGCAGCAGAAAATTGTTCTCTATATATCATGAACAGCACATCAAAGGCATAAACACTTCAATTATCAATTGTTTAGACTTTACTATGATATAAAATGGGGTTTTTTCCCCCCACACTCCCTAGTAGGGGGTGGCAAGTTAATGAAATTTACTATCTGTTTCCTTGAAATAATCACAATTACCAGGCAATTACTTACAAATCAGTGTTTACAGGGTTGGAAGGAGGTTATGTCATTGGGAATGTATCTTCCAAGAAAGATTTATTTCTGTATCAGTCGTTTTAGCTGATGACACAGGGTTGATGACACAGTAGGCCAGCTTCAAGGAGACAGTTGTTATCCTTGATCTGCTTCCATTGGTTACTTTACTTTTTGTCCCCACTCTTCTTTTAAGAACTTTTCAGATGGACAGCATCTGGAGTCGTAATGTATTTATTTTAAGTAGATCAATAAGTCTACTGAGGTCACTGCAAATTGCCTATGGTCTACAGGTTCCCTTCCTGAAAATGACATTTCAGCATGGGTTTATACTGTATCTTTTACAAAGAAGTCAGATGCAAAATATTCAGTTCCTGAGCAATCTCCTCACCCCTTTTAATATTGTTATGTCCTTGTTATCTGATTATCCAAATGCTTACAGTATTTCTGATGTATCTAATCATATTACTTTTTTTATAGTCTTGATGTTATTACAAATTTGTGCTTCAAATCTCCCTTTTTATCGTCTACTGTTTGTTCCTGTTTCTTTTGTACAAAACAACAATCCTTTTCCATTAATTTATTTTTCTATTAATTTATTTTTATTTATATGATTTATATGGCTGTCCACTTCACACAAGTGATTCTAACCAGCTTACAACATTAAAAAGAAACAACCCTCCCAAAACATTACTTAATAAGCATATTTATGTGTGGGGGAGGGCGCTTGTTTTATTTAAGCAGATTTGTTTTCGCAGATTCTGAAGTAATTCTTTTTCTTCTCCAACCCTTAATATTTTTATTGATCATGCTGCTGATCTCTTAGTAGCGATTTTCCCGATCTGCTGTAGCCAAAATTCTGATATTCCTTCCTAAACATCCTGACAAGACTTGGCACTTTTGACTTCTGTTAGCTTTCTTTTTACCAGATCCCTCATTTTAGAGAAATTGCTTCCTTTGAAGTCAAATGGCACTTTCTTGTGACAACATTCCATTTATATTTTGATAAGCATAATTCTGTGATACCTCATTCCAGTTAATTCAACAATGCTATGTCTTATACTATATGCAGGTTATTCTGACAATGTAGTTCCTTTACTATTGACTCATCCTGGATACCTCAGTGTATCATCAGCTATGCTCACTAAATGGGACCTTGGCTGTTTAAATTACCCTCAGTTATTCAAACTGGGTTATTACATGGCACACTCTGTATGCGTACCCACTGCGCTCACATCAAGCAATCTGCCTGCAGCCCCTTTCCATACTGAATGATTCCCAATTTTCTGGAATGATTGTTTAGGGGACTAAAAAATAAAATTCCGTAGAGAAAATCTCTGCCTATGACTCTTTGGAGTCTT